AAAAAAAAGTAAAAATAATGGCTACAAATAATTTCGCTTGAAATGTTTCTCTCTATTTGCATATTTTCTTTTTCTTTTCTTTTCTTTTTTTGTGGCACGTGTCAGCAGCTGTGCCACCCCCGCATCGTAAAAATAAACAAGTGAAAAAGTGGCAAACATAAAAACAAATTTCAAATCGCTTTTTAACGAGTCGGTGTGCAAAAATAGTGCGTAGCTCTCACATTTTATGACCATGTCAGAGTGTTTTATGTTCTTGTCCAGCAGCAGCGTGCAGAAAATTTCGGCCAAGTCAGAGTTTTGAAGTTAAAGTTGTTGGCTTTTAGTTGAGCTGAAAGTAGCTAGCTTTTCTTGCAGTGTATACTGCCCCTATATGATTATTTAGATATTTATGCAAATAATTTTGTGTGAATCAACGATAACGATAAGAATTGTTTCTTATTCATGTGATGCCTCAGGCAGCACTCTGAAGGCTAACTGAAAGCGCTGCGTGTCCTGCCGTCCATCTTTTTTTTATAGACTGTCACTTCCGTTTCCGCTTGAGCACACGACGAGACTGTTAAGTTGCTTTCTCACTTTCCCCATCTTCCTCTCTCTTTTCCTCTCTGATGGCCATGGCAAGCGTAACTACCTCGCTCTCTCCCTCGCTCTCTATCTCTCTCTCGCTCTCTATCTCTCTCTCTAGCTGTCCCTCTTTGTGAACCCACAAAAGTCACAAAATATTGCTTTGAATTAGCTCAGGCTCAATGTTGAATGTGTCCTTGGTGACAATGACAATCCTTGATCCTAGTGAATTAATTTCATTGGACGTACTTTTACAGATATAACTCGGAGCACCCATTCAAAAAAAAGAGCAAGCCGGGTGTAATGAAGCAGAAGTTGAAAACTGCGTGCCATAAATATATATTCTTGATCAGCCGTTTAAGTCATGTCCATCTGTATGGACCAGCCAGACTATAAGAGCTAGAGACTTCGAATTTAGAATATAAATTATCATATACATATATTCTGTTTATTTCAGTTATATATTCCATTTTATATGAAAAGTGTTAAATAATAATAATAAACAAATTTGTCATGTTGAACGAACTACTGCGGCAAGTGTTCTTTGTATTTAGAGCTATGTACTGGGTATCTGCTAGTCGAACACTCTCTAGGTTATTCCAGTTATTACCCGTTGTTGTTCTTTTTGTTGTTGTTGTTGTTGTTTTTGGGACTGTTTTTGGGACTGTTTTTGGGACCATGTCCCCTATATGGTGTTTCCCTTCTTCGACTATTGCTCATCCGCTATGCAAACATGTCGCTCTCTGGATTTGTCTGCCATCCCTCTCCGCCTCCTCCGCTATCCAAGGACTCCCTTTGGGACACGTTGCGCGCATTCAACACTTTGACAAACAAACTGTTGCCGTGTGTCCTTGTTTGCCTTTATCCTTTAACGGTTCTTGCTCACTTGACTGCCTGCCTGCATGCCTTCCTCCTCCTTTGCTGTCTGTTGCCTGTTGTCAGCTGCAGTTGCATTCGACAATTTGCTGAGTGCAGCGTTTCAACCACTTTTTGTTTAAGCCAAATCCTCTCAGACAAGCTAGCAGGCAGTCAGCCAGTCAGCCAGGCTTCAGTGCCCATGAAATGGAGCGCAGCGATTTGCATATCCCGCTGCGACTGTCAAAAGCACAGATAAATAAATATATAGAAATATTTATATATATATATATATATGTATAGACAGATATATTTTTGTTGGATACGCATAAAAATGCGCATATTTATTTCTTACATAACCAAATAAACAGAAGAGAATGACTTTCAGTTAAAATACTCTTGCGGAAAGGAGTCAAGCACCTTCCGATTATTCCTATTGTAGCTATATATGGGATATGGTAGTCCGATGTTGATGATTTTCTCAAAATGTTAATAGCATTGTAAGACCCAGAGCTGATGAGTTTGTAAACAAAATAGAGCTCAACAGTCGAGCGATTATTCCAATGATAAATATATGATAGTAGTCCGATAAGATAAAATAAATAAAAATCAAGAGGATATCATAGTAAGATAAAAACGTTTCCTTCACTACATTACAAACCGCACGACAAAATTATAATAGCCTCTGCAAGTGTATAATAAAAAAAGGGGAGCTGCAAAAATAAAAAAGGCTGCGTTTCACGCACTCTTACTTTAATGTCCTTGAAGCAGCTCATTTTCTTTTTGTTTGCCACGAGCCAAGAAATTTTTTCTGTTGCATATTTTTATATTTATTTTATATTTTTTATTATACCCTGAAGCCACCAAAAATGGTTAAAAAGGGTATAATGGTTTTGAGCAAATGTATGTAACACGCAGAAGGCAGCACCGACCTCATAAAGCATAATATAAGAGTTCTAAAGAATGGAATATAAGTTCTCATACGCCTCGCTCAGATCCAGTTTATTTAATTTTATCGATAGCTGTCCCAATACATATCGATATCCAATAGCAATAAAAGCTTTAGTTTAAAAGTTTAATTTGTTTACCAACTACTCGACTCAGAATAATAAAATAAAGTATAAATTATTAATTCATATATCCACTATACTCTTTTAGCTAGAGTCTCAAAAGTTCGTGCACTCCCAAACTCAACTCCTTCGGCATTAGCACTGTCACTTGTCACAGCAGCTCACAGCTCCTAATTGTGGTTTATGTGTCCTAAGTCGAAAATCTTTCTTAAGCTGATTTATATGCGGTCTCAATCTCCATCCCCGTCTTCGACTTGTACTTGGAATTGGAGTTTAACTTGGATTTGGATTTAGATTTGGACTTGGACTATTTTATTTATTTGCACATTTACCTGCTGGCTGGTCAAGGCTTCATTAGCCTTAGCAGCTGAGGCCTTCAAAGAATGCTTTTGCAGATTTTATAGTGAGGCGTGCTCAGCTCTTTTATTTCGCTGCCAGGACGATAGTTTCCTTCTACACCTACACACACACACACACACACACACATGCGAGCAGCTATTATTTATATTGTGTTAAGCACTTTGGTACATCCTAATGCGAAGTGTTGTCTTTGCTGCTGTTCCTGCCACATCCCATTTCAGCTAGGGGACAGAGTCATATTTTGCGGTTCAGGTAGCAGCAACAGCGAGGGCATTGCAACGCAACGCTTGTGGCTTGTGGCTGCCACAGCAAAGTCCGCGTAAAACTGCAAATTGCTGCCACTAATAGTGTGCAAACAGGGGGCTTAAGGCCTGAGAAAATGTAAGAAGAATGAAAACTGTTTACTTTTCCGAACAGAAACTTTGAGACTCTTAGTTTGCTAATGACTTCAAAAGATAGTTTCTTGAGCTTTTGGAGTGTGATTTATTTTTGAGATTTCAGCAAATGTACTTAGAAATCATAATCAAATATATTTTGAAAAATTATAAAATATATTGATTTAAATAAATAATATCATAACCATAAATATCTCGAAAATATCAACAGCTTTTACTTCAAATTCGTTCATTGAAGGTGCAAATTGGGCTATGCGATTTTAGCTACAACACCAACTCAGGATGTCAAACTGAATCGTGTTTCGCATCAGGTTCCGGTACTTAAGGTTATAAGTTGTACAAGTTGCCAAAGTGAAGTTTAAGGTTAACAAAGTTTTTCATACATTTACGAGTGAGAAGAGAAATTGTTACAGTTACACCAAAAGAACGAAATCAACTGCAGATATTTAATATAAATATGTATATATAGATTATATTTGAATGAAACGATTGCCAATTAATTGAAATGGTGCTGTCCACTTTTCACCTTATGGCAAACCGCATGAGAAAATCAAAGCAATCGCTCTTGAGGTAGAATAACTAACTGCCCGTCAAATGGCTGGCCATGAAATGGGTTATTCGTCGGCGAAAGCCAGCACCTTGAATGGCTTTTGGCGGAATTTCAAATGTTTGCTGCAACTGCTTCACAGTCAGGACGAAGCCCAATTCCGGGGGGATGGGTGATATATTGGCCAAGGAATTTGTTGTATTAAAATGTCTGCAAAGAGACGAGCCAAGAAATATTTTTGGTGTGCCCGAAACTATTTTTGCGGTCATGACCCAAAAGCACAGAAGACAGCTGAGGGTTCTTCCACACAAAAGCCGCTATAGTTTTTATTAAAAAACAAAAACACCCCACAAAAAAGCAAAAGGCATTTTCTGTCTGACCTGTGTGTGCGTGTGTGTGTGTGTGTTAGCCAAAAAAAATTGTGAAGAATTTTACAGCTGAGCGCACGCGAGGCTCGACGGGTAAATTTAGAGTGCCAGAAAAAATTGATGACAAGAGTGCAAAATAAATTGAATTTGCAACAGCTAATTTCTGTGTGCGAACGAGCAACGTTCAACATGCCACAAGCAGGAGGCAGCAACAAGTTTTTCATTTAGTTGCTGCAAGCTGATGAAATTTTACGGGGTCGCTTGACAAATTGTAAGATTTAAGAACAGTTCATCATTTAAGAGCAGGTCAGTCAATTAGCCAACTCGGCCTACTCCTCTGCTCTCCTCTGCTCTTCTCTTCTTGCTCCTCCTCCTCCTCCTCCTCCTCCTCCTCCTCCTGCTCCTCCTCCTCCTTCGCTTTTTCTTCTTCTTCTTAATCTACTTCATCCTCCTTACATCTGTTTAGTTTGCGTGTTGAGTTTCTGTTTCGGCAATTCCCCTGACTAATCTCGCATGCGAATTCTGCTTGTGTTTCCCCTTTTGAAGGTTAAAGTTCAGTGTTCATGGCCCAAAGGGGCAAGTAGCTACCACCGCACTCCCCCTCCCCCGTCTTGTTATTTTCTTTTTGGTTCACCTGACCTCAAAAACAGGGTAAACAGCTCCGACCGGGCTCGTCTCTAGCCAGAGACTGCCTGGCTTGTTGTCATTTACTATCTGGGTTCTCAGTAGCCGTAAAGAGAGACCTTAAAAGCTCGCCTTTAACTGTTAGTCGAATGTTAAAGAGAGTAAAGTTCGTTATTAAATGTTAATCGAATGTTTACAAGGCTTTCGCTCAACACATGTGTTATACGAATAAGCTTGACAAAGCTTCCATTGAAATCCTTTATTGTGTCCTGCAACCTGAGCTTTTAACAGTAGTCGCAAAGCTTAAATTATGGTTATAAACTCGGGATTCATAAATGAGAAACCAATGAAATCATTTTGATCCAAATTCATCATGAACAATTTATCCGTTGGAGTTAAATCCGTTTTCTCCTTGGTAAACGCCTCATCAAAATTGCTTATATCCTTGCGATGTTTCTGCAAAAGAAATCAAAAATAATAATAATCTCCAGACGCGATTAAAGCTGGAAAAAATGACTCACAATTCTAGGCACAATTGGGGGCTGCATTTCACAAGCCTCCGCCGAGTCCCAGTCCACATTGCAGAAGAAAGGGTGCGTGGTGATCTCCTGGCGGGCATAGCGACCAGCCCCTAAACGATTATTCGGCTTCTTGGCCAGAAACTATATGGCAGAAAGTACGAAATGAAGTATTATTATACCAAAGAGATATTCAACCTACGCTCGTTATAATATCCATAGCCTCCTGGGTGAAGTGCTTGGGAAATATGGCCTTCTTGTCCTTAATATTGCGGAAAACTGAGATGTCATCTTCGCCATCGAAGGGCGCCTGCCCGGCCATCAGTTCGTAGAGCAATACGCCGTACGACCACCAATCAGCCGTTGTCGAATACGGATCCAAGCTGACAATCTGACAATAGGTAATTCGTTATTGGTAAGAATGTGTGGCATTTTCCTAATTTGTTATGTTTAGAAGATATTATTTCTAAATTCAACATCTCCCACTCTCTTTCACTCCTCTAGGTTATTAATACATCTAATCAATCTGAGTTGAAACTCATTCGTTAACTTCAACTTGAACTTGTGCTTGGAGAATTACATTTTCGAAAATACAGTAAGACATCCAATATATATATATGTCCTTGAAATTATACTCTTCTATTGAAGGTAGAGCATTATATTGGATCAGTCGGTTTTTAAGGACGCAACTTTTATTTCACATTCTTGAAGCTTCAGAATTAAAAGGAATATTTATATATGTATATATATATACTCTTGATTAATAGATTGCTACTCATTTCCGCCTAAGAATGGTAAGCAAAATTCTTCAGACCCGCAAATCTATTTCTATAAAGTCTATATCTATATCTTAACGAAGACCTCTCAATATCTCCTATAGAGATATAAAGTTTAGGAGTATCTCACCTCCGGGGCCATATAGTTGGGTGTGCCGCAGAAGGTGCGCGTTGTCTGACGATCTGAGACGCCCTCCTTACTCAGCCCAAAGTCCACAAGTTTCACATGTCCTTCACCATCTAGCAGAACATTGTCCAGCTTCAGATCGCGATAGATGATGTCATGATCGTGCAGAAAAAACAAAGCAATTGCAATTTCCACGGCATAAAAGCTGAAAGCGAAAAAACAAAATGAATATAGAAATAGAAACCTTAACCGGGATTACTCACACGGCGACCGACTCCTTGAAGCGTCCGTATTGCTGCATGTGGTACATGAGATCGCCTCCCTTGCAATACTCCATGACAAAAAAGAGGCGATCCATGGTCTGGAAGCAGGAGTGCATGGCGACGAGGAAGGGCGGACGACCCGACAGCGCCAGGATGCGTTTCTCGTTCATGGGCAACTCCATGTCATCCGTTTGGATGATGACATCCTTGCGCAGCACCTTCACCGCGTACAGTTCATCGGTGCCACGGCGCTCGGCCAAAAGAACTTTGCCAAATGATCCTTTGCCAATGGTCTTCACAAAATTAAAGTCAGCTGCGCGAATCATATCTCTTTTGTTCATATTATGCGGCATATTCTTGTTGTCCATGCGTCGTTTCTCATTGGGACGACGCTCGAGCTGAGATTGCAAATTTTCGGTTAGGGATTTTGAATAAATGTAAGATTAATTGGAGCACCCGTCGCTGGCTTAACTCACTTGCACCTCGTCGCGCAGTCGGGCCATATCATTAATGACATCCACACAGGGTATGTTGTAGTGTTCACCCTCGACTTGCGATAGAAACTTGTACCAGCCATCGATGGGCTCCTTCTGCAGCTCCTCCAAACTGAAGGAAAATGAGCCCATGAAATCGTTGCGTGAGGTTCGATCCCAATCCCAGACCTCAATCAACAGACGCTTATCCCTATCCTGTGGCTGCAGCTCGCTGTGAGTGGCAATCGATGTTTGGGATTAGAGATCAATAAAGGAGCACATGACAAAAGGAAAGAGATTGCTCGCCTAGGTACCTAGATACCTTTTTAACAAAAACCTGTCTTCCAAATCCGATCATAATAATTTATCGTTTTGATCGGATACATTATAAATAAATAAATTGGAAGACAATATTTTCAAAATTGTGTGTTTTATTACTATCGGAATTCGATTTTTATCGAAACGAGAAATACGAGCAACTTAATTCAAAATTATAAGTCCTAGCTCTTCTAATCTCTGATATCTGTTTGTTCATTTAGACAGACTGGCGGACATGACTAGATCGACCCGACTTTTGATGCTCATCATGAATAGTACATTTTAGAAAAATCACTTACAAAGTAAAAGTCTCATTGAAGACCGGATTGAGATTCTTCTGTATGGTTTTGGTCTTCTTCTTGGTGCGTCCCGAGCGATCGGGGTGCATTTGGACGGCTATATAAGGATCACTGAAGCCATTGGTATCCATTGGTATAAGATTAGCTGCCTCCTTGACTAAAGGGTAGTATTAATATAAAAATAAATTAAATTAAAAATAGTACATGATATTTTAAATTAAGTTACAAGAAGAAAAAGATGAAATATTTTTAAGATTTCTGAGGAATTGGCTCCAAATTGATAACACTATCAAATCTTGTGTAATCAATAATTAGAGTACTCCGATTGTGGTTTTTACTCACTCTCCACTTTCAAGTTGTTGCCCTTGAGCTCCACGAAGAGTAGAAGCTTGCCACGCACCTCGCTGATATCGGCGCCACACATCGGTGGCACACACTCCTGGCACTTTGGATGCACATTCAGATTGCAATCTGCATGGGACAAATATTAAATAAGGTCTACACTCATAAAAACAAATTTTAGAATAGTTAGTCATTCTATTATTCAAAAAGTAAATTACTAAAATTTATAGATGTGATTATACAAAAATGAATGGTTACTTAGCAATTATGTATTCCACAAATATTTAATAATTTATGTTAATATTTAAAAATGATTTGGAAAACAAGAAAAACTCTCTATTTCTTAGGTCAATTTATGAAAATTAAGGGTGTAGGTTTTGTGGGTTTTTTGTGAGTGAATAATGCTCGTGCCGAACTTACTCTCACACTTGACGCCCTGATGGGCAACGCCGTGCAATAGCATGCCGCACTCATCGCAGAAGGTGGGTGTGGTGTAGGTGGTCGAGATCCAGGCATGCTTCACCTTCGCACAGTCGGCATCGAAGTCGGTGTCCTTCCCAGGACACTTGAAGACCACAAACTTGCAGCATTTCTGGTGTATATTAAAGCGACATTCTGTTGTGCGAAATTAGTGTGCAATTAGTCCATGTCCTTGTTTTGTTGCTAAAGTCTTCAACCTACCCTCGCACTGAAAACCTTGCTTGCCAAAGCCCCTGAATTATTCAATGCAACAATGAAACAGAGAGCAAACCAAAGAGAGAGAGAGAAACAGTGAGACAGAGACAACAAGAACAAGAACAAGAAAAATACGTGTCAAGTTACAAAGCACTAATTAAATTAGGCAACACAAAAAAAGTAGTCGACGGGCAGATATCCTGTAAAAATTACATTGCGAACTTTAATTCAGATCGAAAAACTCAAAGAAACTCAAAACATTTCCTAAACTCAGGGTGTTATCTCTCAGATTTATGAGATTAAACGAAACTTAAATATTTCAGTAAATATAGTAGAATATAGTAAAATCAATGCAAACAATTTAGAATGCCCCAGCTGCAAAATATTCCGAACCTAGCTATCAAAATAAGTTTTGGTTATCAAAATCTGGGTTTCTTAGCCGATCTTAATGAAAATTTTCCAATTGATCAATAATTTGTCTCCTTAGATATCAATATTTTATTGATATTGTAGATCGATGTGTACTGATAGTTATCGATTGATTACTTTAATTATGATCATCTCTGAGATCGGCAATAAGAAACATAGAAGAGTCTATATCGGAGATGTTTACCTTTGTTACAACACAATTGATGCCACGCCACACCACACCCTATGCGTACAGGGTATTTAAATAAGAACTAGCAAAAAATTATATTAAAATAACTTCCGTTTGAAAATAGGTCATGAATGTAGTTTCTATTTTCACTGTTCGTTGTTGCCATTATTGTTGTTGTTTATTGTTGTGATCTGATTGTGGTTGCGTTTCCTTCGCCTGTGGCTTTAGCCCACTTACCAAATGAAATCCTTGCAGTGACCGCAGTAGGTTGGCTGCTTGAAGAAGCGCACCACAAATCGGTGTCCGTTGACCACCTCGAGACCCTTGCGCTTCATTGCTCCCTTGCGCAATCTATTCTTCATGTAGTTGACGATATTTGCCTCCCCAGCGATTTCCACCTGATTCTGTGGTCCTTTGCCAGCAGAGGCAGCTGTTGCTGCTGCCCCAGCAGGACCTTTGCGAGTCGAAGCGGTTGTTGCCGCAGCAGGTCCGGCAGCAGGAGCAGAAGGTAGCACGGTGGCGCCTGGTGTGGCAACAGCAGCGGCAGCCATGGCCCAAAAGGACTTGCCCCAAACGAAAGAAAAGGATTAAATTTGAGCCGTTTTCGTTTCTTGGACTCGACTTGAGAACTGTGCACTTTGAAGCGTTAAAAGCAACTGACCCACAGCGTTAAATAGTCAAATGCTGTTAGGGACAAGAGGAAGCCAACCAAGTGCCCGACTTGCAGCTGATGGTGCCCCACAGCAGTTCCAGAGCTTCTCCTTGAATACCTCGAATACCTATCTAATACACCTCTAATCCCATTCGAGCACTTTCTCTCTTTCTCCTTCTCCCTCTCTCTCTCTCTCTCTCTCTCTATTCTTATCTCGATTAAAACTACATTTAAATTGAAAATGGAAATCTGGCTGGATATTTATAGTAAAATTATTCCCTTACGAAGTGATTGTATGGGATGGGTCAAGATTTCACCTTACCATAACATTTTTAAAAGTGGTATCTTTAAGCTTGGTTTGCGAATGGCTTATCCTCTAGATTAGTACAGCATTTAAAGTCGAAAACTAATTTAGATTTTTCATGTTAAAATTATACGTTCGAAAATTGCTTGTTGTGGGGATAAATAAAAATTCCTCCATAGCCTAACTTTGTCAAATCTGAATCGATTTTCATAAGCCAGGAAATTTTGATCATGATTAGACTGCATTTAAATCACACGAATCACAAGTATTAATTAACATGTTTACGTTGGACATATTAAACTTTTACTTACTTATTTTATTTTACTTATTTTTACAATTTTACATAAATCATTTGTATTCAGAGCAGGTTTACAATGTCCAAATTGATGATTGGCCAATGTTTCTGTTTCTGTGCAATCATTTGACGTGATAAGTGTAAACAATTTGACTAAGGTCAGGGGAGGCATGTGGCATGTAGTATTTGGTAACTGGCAACTGCTGCTTGTGGCATGTACTATCATTGCAGTGCGGCAAACCGGAGAAAGAGCAAGGAGGGGTAGGCAATCAGCAGCTGCTGCTGTTGTATGTGTATGTGTATGAGTGTGTTATGTGCAGTCATGTTGTGACGTCAATGGGACAGTCTCTGTTTGTCTGTTTGTGCAACGACGACGGCGTCAACAAACTTTAACAATGTCAGAGACAATAATTTTAAGGTGCTGCTCTCTCTTACTCTCCATCTCGCTCTTCCATTCTCTCTTATAATTGTCGTTTGTTTATTTATTCATGATTAATTTATGCATTTTTCGCATGAGAAATATGAACAGAGAAATTCGTAAGCAACAAATACATAAAAAAAAAAACATGGCGTATGATTGATGTATAACAATATTTACTCCCCCCACCCCCCCCCCCCCGGCAAAAAAAAAACCTTTAGCCTTAGCATTTCTATGTGTGTGTGTGTGCAACGAGCTTTGTGGCTGCCTAAAAATAGAAATAGAAATGCAAAACTCAGCGAAACAAAAAACAAGAAAAACGAAAACCAAATTGAGCTCAAAGTGCAAAAGTTTTTAAGGACAGGGAAATATGAGAAACTGTGTGTGTGTGTGTGTATGTGTGTGTGTGTGTGTGTGTATGTGTGTGTGTGTGTGTGTGTGTGTGTGTGTGTGTGTGTGTGAAGGACGCACACAGCAAACAAACAGGCAAACAAACAAAGCCAAACTGCAGGTTGCTTGCAGCTTCTGCTGTTGCAGTTGCAAAGTCAACCTAAACTTAAACTGAAATTGAAACAGAACTGGAACTGACGAGCTAAACATAAGTCCGTGACGTGTCCTAACATGTTCTGACATGACGGCGGAGCAAGGGGATTAGTGATGAGCGCGTGACTAAATCTGCTTAATATCTGAATTTGTGATTGCTATTCAAACATTGAAGAATAATAACAGTTTTTACTTATTATATTCAGCAGGTGTCAATGCCATTACCTAATTATCTTGTTATTTTATGATGATTTATTGTTCAAAAGTGTGGAATATCATATAATAACCATAATTGATGAAAACAGCTATATAAATGAGTAGTTTAAATTTATACAGTGTCCAACACGATTAATCTAATCTCGAATTCTGATGAGAATGTGGGACGAAAGCCTCAAAAAGCCTTCATAGTTAATGCAAATATTCAAAAAATAATATCTTAAATTAAATGTTTCACTTTTTGTATACCAAAATTGCTTTTCTTTTGTGTCGTTCTATATATTTTTTAATTTTGACTAAACAGCTTTCTATTATAATGTATTAATTATTTGGGTGACCAATTTTATTAAAAACACATCGCCAACTCAAAGAGTTGAAGCTGAAGCTGAACCGGAAGTGGAAGCGTTGTCAGCGAGACGTGAAAACGCTCGCGAAACAATGCAAAATGTCTTTTGAGTTACAACAACAACAATAACTGCAAGTTTCACTCATAAATGTATCCGTTTCTTCGAAGTGTACTTTTTATTGTTGCTCGCAATTCGACAAATGCTCGACAAACAAGCGAAGGCAGAAACATGGCCTGCCCCCCTCTGTATCTTTCTACCTCTATCCCTCCTCCTTCCCCCACACACCTAAGCAGATTGCGTGGCGTAGACAGACAGACAAATCTAAGGACATGTAATGGTACAATGCAAATAGCAATTGTTGTGGTTGTTGCTGGCTTGCTTTCAATTTACGTCATCAATTCCATGGCGTCGCTTTGTTCGTGTTTTTTTTGTCGTTTTCGTGACAGTGTTTTTTTTTTTTGTTTTGCCTCGCAAATTGTTTTTGCACTCAAGTAAAGCAGGCCATGCGAGAGAGAGAGAGAGAGAGCGCAATGCTCCCACTCTCTCCCCTCGACCCAACTCTGTCACTCTCTTTGTCACGCTCTCTCATTTTAATTTAGCTTGCGTTCAGCGCGTATAACAGTTTTAGTAAAGTTGTAGCACAGTCGTCTGCTGCATTTCCAGTTACTTTGCTTTGCGTGATTGTTGTGTTTTTTGGCTCTCTTCACTTTCACGTATATTTCGGTCATTTAGTAATTTATTGTTGTTGTTTTTGTTGCTTGACCTGCGCTCTTAAAACCTATTGATCTGTAGCAGCAGCAAAGAGTGTATTTTGTGTGCTGTTAGTTAACATAGTTAACATGTGTGTAATGTTAAGATTAAAGTGCCGGCAACATTTTGATCATTTTGCATCATAAATTGATTATTAGTAGCATGTTGTAATATATTATATACTATGCCAACGATAGCAACATGTTGCTCGTACAAAGTTATTTAATTTATTATTAACAATATGTTGCGTATTGAAAGTGTTTATTATAAAAATTAGTTTGGAGCTCAATTAACTCTACAATTAGCCACATTCATAGTTCTTAACCAACTGGCCTTGATTATTGTTATTGTTATTATTATAATTATTATTATTGCTGGCCACAGACATAAATTTGTTGCATGTCACAAAAGCCACAACAATTAACGGCAAAAAGCAATGCCAAACCCGTTAATTAAAAGCGCTCGTAAAATTGAGTTGGCCAACAACAACAAAAACTGTATAAATTTAAATGCTGCGTTTTGGCACATTCCAGGAAACGCTTTCGGACTGAATTTGTCCATGTGAAAAACTATTAATTTTAATTCTTAAATAAATCTTATAAGTCTCAGATGTATTTGTATTTCTTTAAAATTACATATAAACGTTTTGCATACACTCTTATAAGTCGCCTTTGTTTAAATCATCAATTCACCTTTATATAGCCTTAAATTCCTCTCCAAATCTCTTTTCCTATACAAAATCTCTTTCTCTCATATTTAGCCCATGCTCCAACACTTTCCAAAACTCTGTTGATTCTGAGGTGAAATCAATAACAAAAATGTACAAAAGCTGCGCCAACTGTAAACGTAAATGCTGCCCACTGTTTGCGATTTGTTTGCACACTCTCACATACACACAGTAAATGTGATGACGTTTTGTTTATGAGACACAAACAATTTGGCAAAAGAGCACACAAAAACTGTTAAACTCAATATAGCCGGCTAACTGTAAATTTGTAGCGACTGCGTAGTTGGCAGCTGTTGTTGGCCTGTCAGCTGCCAGCTGCTGGAAGCAAGCGTAAATCCTTTTTACAGCAGTCGCTTGTGAAGGCGCCACGCTGCAGGTTGCCAAAAATAAGTGCGCACGCGGCGAATACGTAACGCGACACTCGTGCAACATACGCCGTGCAATCAACAACAACAACAACAAAATATTCATGGCGCCCCAATAAGTGTAAAAAAAAATATAATAGAAATTTGCGTGTTTTTTTCAAGTAAAAAAAATAAGCATGAAGAGGAAGCAAAACAAATAAAAAGCAAACCGCGTGCGAATAAACAACCTGCATTGGAAACAGAGACGAAGGCGACTCCACCTCCAGCACTGGAAATGCGTCGCACTCACACACACATAGCCAGACAGATACGCAGCTTCCAGCGTTGGCTTTGCGTGGGAATTTTGCGAAGCTGCTGCTGTGGCTGCTGCGACATTCAACGTTCTGCGTTGGCCGCCGACGCACGTGTCACCGCATAACAAAAAGCACAAGCTAATGGTGCAAGCACCGAATTTACCTTCAGCTCCAAACTCACCTCACCCACTCTCTCTCCTTCTCTCTTTCGCTGTGCGCGCTCGTGTCTCTCTGTGGATATGTTTGTGTGTGTGTGGCTTAACTTGTATACAAAGAAAAGTCAAACTAAACGCAGCGTGTAATCAGTGACAGTTTCGTTACCCCCACACATCACCCACCCACTCTACTCCTAACTCCCCTTTCACTTGTGATTTACAGTTATGCGCTTCTGTATATGTGTGTTTGGTTGTGTGTGTGATTTATAATTGAAATTAATGTTCGTCTTTCGCCTTGTAATTTGATAGCAGTGCCAAAAGTCAAAGCATAAACTTCTTAGCAGTTTTAATGCCAACGTTTCTGACAAATAATGATAAGAGCCCCAAACCACCCCATTCCCCTCCCACGGCATCAATTTATTTGCCAGACTTCCACAACAAATGGAAATTTTTAATTGGCCAGCAGCATTTCGTTATGGCAGCTCCAAGGCTATCAAATTTCAATTATGAAACCTTAAAAAAATATAAAGAAAACATCTCTAAATATTTTTAAATTGTCTGGCACTAAATCGAAGTTTGTTTTGTGTGTTGTTTACGTAGCTAAACGGGCAAAAAGTGTGTTTCTTTTTATAATTATTAATTAATGCATTTTACTTATGCCAAATACAAATATAAACTCAACACATATTTAAAGTATTTTTAGTCCGATTGTTTTTTTAACGAGTTTTTTTCTGCGTGAATATAAACTATATTTTGTTAGTTTACTTTTATTTATTTATATGCGTTAATTTTATTTTTTGGATTTATCTGTATTTTAACATTGAATAAGGAAATATATTTTTAGCTGTATTTATTGCTAAAGTTTTAATTTATTATATTATGTTATTATTATTATTATTAGTATTATTTTATTATTTTATTATTATATTATATTAAATGATTATGGTATAAATTGTATTTATAAATTATATATAATAAATTTGTATTTGGTTTCTCTTTCGGAAACGTATTAAATTATTATTTAAACTGCTTTCAAAAACTGCCATGCAACTAGTATTTTTGTAGTTTTTTAACAGTAAATAAAATAAAACAGAACCATTGCGAATTTCATGGTTCTTAGACATGCACTTTCATCATTTTTAAATAACGTTTTCCTTAATAGTTGCTGCTTAGCAAATACGGAAAATAAATAATTTGAACTATCGTTAAATGGAGTCAACTAAATCTTAAAACTATTTTTGCTTAAGCTGTAACTTTTTCACATTTTTTAAAACAGAGAAATTATGGAGTTTATTGAGAATTTAAATCAGATGGTCTTGGCGTAAATCGAAGATATAAATAAAAATCATCTTTTGTTTATGTACACATACACATCTTATTGCTCAAGGGTGTGTAAGTGTGTGTGTGTGTGTGTGTGTGTGTGTGTATGTGTGAATACAATATACCCTTTGCCTCCTCAAAAGAAAACCACTTGCAACACACTCATAAAAGTGGATACAAATCGCAGAGAGTGAGTGAAAGTGGCTCATTAGAAATGGTTTTCCCAACACACGCACAAACACACCACACACAGGTGAATCGACGATGAATGCAAAGTGTGAATTTGCAGCATGCGAAGAAAACGGAAAAGCCAGTGATGAAACATCTATGAAAAATTGTGGGTAGAGTCGCTTAAGCAAACTGCCCGGGCAACCACACAATGTTTAAATCGTGTTGTGCTTACACAAAATTGTTAGCAATAATACCAATAATATTACCGATAATAATGAGACACTAGCCGAGGCAACTCCTTTCAACTCAAATTGTGAATATATCAAAACACCTAAAGCAATAATTCAACACTCGCACGTAAAGAACTCCAAGGACACGAATTGAGCAGAGATGCCCTTTGGAAGGAAGTCTCCGTTGGAGGCGCTCGCCTTGCCCGGTGTAATGCTCGCCTACAAATACAGCCAGTTCCGGCAGCGAAGACGCGAGGCGGCCAGTCGACGAGTCACCGAACGCGAACTCTCCGCCCTCCATCACAAAATCGTAAGATCAACTTTTATCTATAAGTACAAAAAACTCTTCGCTTAATACATGGAGCATATTTTATATGCAAATATAAACTCGTCTTTCAATTCAGTGTATGGAAAACACGCCAGTTCTGGCCTGAGCCAGTTGCATTATTGGCCAAAAACATAATATTATATAATTTAATGCAACCAAATCTCTCTCTCTCTTTAACACAAAACAATTTCAGAATTTTAGTAACTCAAACGCTATTTTCTCTCGCTCTCTCTCTCTCTTTCTCCTACTCTCTGTCGATCTATATATTTATTTCAATTTATCTCTACTTTATTCTATATCTTCAGCTTAATCCGTCAGCTCCACAAAGCAATTTACAAATTTAAGAAATTTTCAAGCTTCTATCTCTGCCTCTTCTCTATCTCGCCATATATTCATATATATATATATATATATATATATATATACATATCTATCCATCTCTCTCTCTAACTGTCTCTCTCTTCATCTATATATCTATGCATATATCTGTCTATTTATCTATATATATCTCTCTATCTGCGTCTCTGTCTCTCTGTTTCTCTCTATCTATATTTATATCTATATTATATAATCTCACTTTCACTCTCTCTCTCTCTCTCTCTCACTCTGTTCCCCTATACTTTATTTTATGTCTTCGCATGTCTTGTCTCAAGTCCGCAAAAACATTATCAACAATTTAACAAATTCTCAAGCTTTTCCCTCTCTCTCTCTGTCTCTCTCTCTCTCTCTCTCTCTCTTTGTCTTTGTCTGCCTCATCACCACTTCTTGGTCATTTCCTCAGCCACATTTCGGTCGAGGCGATTAAACATTACATATTCGAGTAACTTTTTGTTTACAGTGTAGATTTGGCTTTCATCATGCTCCGCGCACATAAAACACATGCAATAAAATTGTTGTCGGCTGCTTTTATCAAAGCTGCAGGCATGATTAGCCTCTCAGCTACAACAACAACAACAACAAGCAGAAAAGGCTTTAAGTATCTGAAAAAAAACAACGAAAAGCGAATGTTGACAGTGCGGCAGCTGCACAGAGACTGCGCTGCTTGTGTGTTTTTCAGCTTCTGCTGCTTTTTACATCGCTTTGACATTTTAAAGTGCTTCCTGTTCTTCTCTTCTTCTTATTCATCTTTTTATTTCTCTCTCTTCCTCTAGATTTTTGTTTGCTTTCGTCTCGCATTCAAGTTTGGAAAATAGTTTTTGAAAATGGGAAGCATAAATCGTCAAAGGTGAAATTTGCCTTAGCCTTTTCTCTATTTTTATTTTTTTTTTTGTCAAGTCAACCCAAGGAAATTTCGTCCATAAAATATGTCGTAAATTTGTGTGACATTATATATATATATGTGTGTGTGTGTGTGTGTGTATAGGCGTGAAACTATTTGCATTTTGGGTCCAAATTCCAAAAAATGGGCTCAGCTCTATGCGGAACATTAACATTAAACACTGAAATTAAATGGACTGTGAACTTTAGGGAATTGAAAAAGTGTTTTTCTTGGGTATTTGATAGAATTTTAAATATTAGTTTAAGTTCATACTAATAATTAAATAGAAATATATATAGTAGTGTCTTTAATAGAATTGTATATATAAATTTGATTACAAACTAAAAATTACATATAAATAGTTGTTTATTATTTGAGGAAGTCTTTTCATACTATGTTTTTTAAATGATTTATAAAAGGTATTAAAGCTTCAAAGCTTTGCATTTTATCAATTAGATTTTGTCCAAACTCAACGGAATGATTCCTGACCAAATTCCTTGGATTCCAAACTGGTTAAAGCTCTCAATTTCGCACTTGTTATCAAGGAATTTGCCCACAGGCTAAGCATTTCTATCTGCTCATTTGCATTTGCAAAGCAACAATGACAACAATAACTGAAAATGAACAATGCAATACTGGGAGAAAAAAAAGGCTAAGCTCACTTGAGAATAACGAGACTTGCTTGAAATTTATGACCAGCTCAAAAGGCAGGCCAAAGTCAAGCAAAAGCACACACTCACACACATACACATACACACACACTTGGATATTTACATATGTTAAAATTTACATATGACAACAACAATAACAACTGCAAATTTAAAAAAAAAAGAAAGAAGAAAAAAAGTACTTTTGAAAAGTGGCTGAGTTCTGAGTTTTGCCTGCTTTGCATAAAAATCTGACGCGTGACTGTAATTTCTGCACGCGACCTTGAAAAGAACGGCATACACACACACACACATACACACACACACACACACACACACACACACATACACACAAGCTTTAATGCAACATTAGCGGAAGCAAGTAAGAAAAAAGTTGCGTATTAAAATGCTTTTACAATTAAATGGCCAGCAAAATGCCTAAAAAAACTAAAATGTGCCTTTTACCTGTGTGTGCGTGTATGTGCTTGTGTGTGCATGGGCACTAACAACAATTAGGCTAATGTCGAAAGCCATGGGTCATGGGAAACCTCTACAAATGGATGTCCCCACCCCCGCCCCCCACCCCCCACCAAATAAGTTATGCGCAACGCAACGCCCAACGCAAATGAGGCAGTAATTGAAAGGCGTGCCGGGGAAGGGGGGAGTAGAGTGGAGAGTGTAGAGTGTAGAGTGGAGTGTAGAGTGGAGTGTAGAGTCGAGTAATACATAGGCTATCTTAAACAGTTTTGTTCAACAGCCAACTGGCATTTAAATTAGCTGACAAAGCTAGGGGGAACGGTGGAAACAAGGGGAGTGGAGCGACGGGGGAACCATAGGAGAGGAGGTGATAGTTGGGAGCGCCTAGCAATGAGCTCATTATAGAGATATTTGTTGTGCGATATCCAAAAAATTGTCGTGCTTTTCGAGCAATCGAGTCGAAAGTGCGTTGTAAATAGTCAAAACTAAACGCAAGTTTTATTTGCTGCAAGTAAAGTGAAAGAAACCCTACTTAAAGCAGAAAACTGAAAATGTGAGGCTGTATTTGAGAGTACTTTAAATTAGGTGGGTTTTATGGCGATTGTCAACTGGGTTGTATAGAAAGATTACATACTATACTATATAAAGATATATTCTATTTAGAGATAGAGATCGACATTTACCATTTTGAGATATATACTGTAAAGAGATCCCAATCCCAGCGAGTTACTTTTCATTGTCGCCTTTCGCCTTTTTTATAAGCACCAATAGCCATGTTCACAAGCCGATCTCAGAAGCTATAAGAGCAAGTTACTTCTACAACAACAACAAATGAATAATTTTGAGCAGAGTCCGAAATGGACTAAGGTTATATTGACAGTGTCAACAGGATCGCAAAAAACAAAAAAAAAACAATACAATTATTATGCATGTGTCTTGTACAAATATGTAGAGTATTCATTCCCCACTTGAGACATGGTTGGACGAAGAATAGAAAATTTAGAAGTAACTGAATAATTGCTTCCGCTTAGGAGTTGTGGATTTACTCTCGGATTTTAGAGTAATCAATGTCTAAAGGCTACCACACTACACACTTGACCATAACTATAGAAGGGAAGGATGCGCATGATCGTAAGGCTTGATCACATATTATCATCATTCCCATCAGTTCAATTTAAAAGACTACGACATTCGCAAATTAAAACAAAGAATAAATATTTTTCACTTCCTGTTTGCTAACTTCTGCTCAATCTCTACAAATTTTGAAAAGTAATTTCTTTGAAAAGTCTAAACAAGTCCATAGCTGAGGTGATGGCTCTGCAATCTCGCTGCTGGTCCCCAAAAGTGTGGGCTTGGCGACAAATTGACTCACGTTGTACATACGACATGTGGCAAACAATGCATGAGGCGCCTATCACCTCTCTCGTCTGTCACACATTTCCCAAACGTCGGCAGCTGGGCGGAGAATTAGCCACAGCTGATTGCCAGCGTTGACGGTGTCTTATTATGTTGATGTTTATAGCAGATTTGCACACACACATACGCATAAATATAATATATATAACAGATAAATATCCTGTAGCATGTGTGGCGTATGCGCCATATTTTCTTATTCATGTAAACGGGCATCAAATATGACGCATACGCCTATGCGTCCCAGCCCATTAAATGTTGATTAGTGAATGGAAAATACGGAACGGAGGGAGGGGAGTGTAGAATGAGAATTTTAGACCCCATTTGGAGTCCTACTTAAAAGCGAAACGCTGTCAAATGTTTAACAAGCAGCCAAAATACCGAATTTTATGCTCACAACTCGCGTGACAAAGCAACATAAAAAAAAACAAACAGATAACCCGAATTGAGAAAATAAAAGTTTAACTAAAAAAGTAATAGAAATCCAGAGCGAAAAATTTGCAGCGACTGAGGAATACACTGGATAACAGCTGGTAAAAGAAAACTGCTTGAGAACGGAGCGACTATTAAATAATAATTAATATATAGATAGAATGGATATAGGAGAGGTTTATAATAGATATAGCGAAAGACTTTCAGTGACCTTTTCAATTGGGTGACTTTAGCTTTTAGGTTGTGAGAAATGTATTTTAATATATACATGGTTATAAAGGGCTATAGAGGCATGGTTATAAAGGTCCATAGAGGCTTCTGTGGATATAGGTTAAGGTTTCTATCAACCTTTGCAATTGGGCTACTTAAGTTCATAAGTTGTGGGGGATATGGTACGGTATATATGTAAATGGATATAGGAGAAGGTTGCTTTAGATAAATGGGAACATTTCCAGTAACACTTTTAATTGGATGACTTTAACTTTTAGATTTTCAAAGACATATTATAGTATGATGTAGAAGCAAGTTTTTATAGACATAGCAGGAGATTTCCATTAATCTTTTGTAATGGTTAACTTTAGCTCCTAAGGTTGCATGGGATATAGTATAAAATAAGGTGTCTATAGATATACAAGGAGTTTTCTGTTCAATAAATGTTCCCCTACCTGCCAAATTTGGCAACTCCAGCTCTAAAACAATGGTAGTTCGAGTATTTAGCCATTTTGGGGGTAGCGGGTATGGGCGTGGGCAACAAA